TTAATAGTATCAAAATTACTATCTTTCTAGGATGACTACGCGGAACGCGCGCAGTCGCCTTTCGTAGAGCAGAATGACGAGGTTCATTATGAATCAGAATCCATGAAAGAAGAGGTTAAGGCTGACAGCAGACCGGTAGATTCCGACGATCCAGTTCAAAAGAAACTCTCGATTGATACTTTTCCTCAATCAGATTTTTACATAAAGCGTGAAAAAAAAACGGAATTCTCGGATATCGTTAAAATGGAAATTTCCCCCGTAATGAAGACAGAAAGTGCTACGATAAAGGAAGAGAAAGTTTTTCCAAAGTGGGAGAAAGGTGATATAAAAACCGAATGTAACTATGGTCCATTGGATCCGAAAATATTTGCAAAGATTCAAAAAGTCGTCGAAAGTGGAGTGTCATTCAGCGATTTGAATTTGAAAAAAGAGCCTTTCATAAAGAAGGAGGGGCAAGGCACAGTCGAGATAATCCATCATAATGTAACGCATACCGAGATAGAAGAATATCCATCTCCCATGGCACCCGATGAAATTCTGGAGCAACGAATGACCGAGTTGCAGCTAGAGTTTAGTGGCATCGATGAAATCGCATTGAACGTTGCCAGTAACGAAAATAAGAAATCCAATGGCGAGAATAAACCGTCTGAAGCCGCCGCAAAGTGTCAAGAGATCGTCGTCGAGAAATCGGACGATAACGCGTCCATCGACGAATTCGACGTCGAGGCGCAGATGAAGAAGATCACGGGCGACGACGGCAACGATTACCAAGAGAAGATTGACACGAGTTCGGAGAAAGACAAAAGCATGGACGGAATAGAGGGATTGATGGAAAGCTCGAAGGAGGATTCAGATTCGGAGGATAAGGACATAGACGACGACAAGTACTGCGAATCATCCTTTAAATTATTTGATATCAAACACGAAGAAACGTCTTTCAACGAACTGGACACTAAGCCAGATATCAAATTGGAACAGATTACCGTTACGGAAGATGGCGAGAAAGAGACGGTTAAGAGAGATACGAACGACGAGGCTTCGAAGGAGGTCTCCAAGACGGAACAATCGTGCGCCTTCACCGCTTTGTCCGAGGAATCTATTTTCGAATCGG